ACTCACGGTCATCAAGTCAGTGCTGACTCGGAATGCCCCTGTGGGCTTCGGCAACTGAAACTGATAACGGGGTAGAAAGTCAGCCTTACTCCCAGGGGCTGCTGGGGTTTCCAGCTGCGGAGCGTGTGGATCACAGAACAAGGAATAAGCACTATGCCATCGGGACTCCTTACATAACACGCTGTCGCTAACTGAATACTCTGGACCAGTGAAAAAGGGCACAGAGGGAAAGGCAACGTTTTGAAGCCTAAATTTAGTTTTTACATCAGATCTATCCTATTTCCTGTGCTGTCATTTTAGCTGCTATGGCAGTTACCTAATTTCATGTCAACTTGATAAATCGGTCTAGGGGTGGAGTCTAGTCTATCAGTCAGGTCATGGCCTGATGATGCCTCCTTGTGGGTGTGGCCTTCTCATGAGGATCCTGGGAACTTCCTCTCTCTCTGCCTTGCTCTTCCTGTTGACAAGCCACACGGAGCCATGCAGATGGCAGCCAGATCTCTAGTGATGCGTCCACTGCCATTGGATCCACAAGATTTTGCACCCACCAGCCTGCGATCTTTCTGAATTTAGCATCATTGCATATGACTACGAAAGTCTGAAGAGTGATTTATAAACTAGTGTCGGACATATGGATTAATATCAGACTAATGGACTTGATCCAGACTAGGCTGAGATGTTTTCCTAATCTGTAATTATTCTTTGATATAAAGCTCTTTCTTATACATATATGAGTGTCTCTGGATTTGTTTCCCTAGTCAACCCAGACTAACACAGCAGACTTTATTGTTAGTGTGCAGCTAAATACATATATTAAAGTTCTATTATATTTAAAAGAAATCAGAAGTGATTTCTTTAGAAGTCTTTACATTTTGCTTTATTTTAAGGAAGGACGCTTCATTAAAAAATATCAAGGCGAACCCCTTTCCACAATGTATGCATGCATGTCACATTTATTTTGTGGTACACAGAAGTGATTAATGTAGCTACTTGCCTATTTGTGATGGGTGAGACAATGAATGGCAGGCATAACGGCAGGGAGGAGGTCCACTGGAGGCTGGGATAAATGGAGGTAGGGAGAGAAATGTGAGAAAGTGGCTCAGAATGAAAGGCTGGGAAAAAGAAGATGGGAAACCAGATGGCATCTCACAAAGAGATGAAACTCTCACAAAGGATTACACATGGAAGGATCCCGCAGTGCTTCTCCTAGGATAACCCCAAGAGACTTGAAAGCAGTGACACAAACAGACACACGGGCAGCACTGTTCACCGTAGCACAGTTCACAACTGCTACAAGGTAGAAACAGCCTGAACGTTCACCAGCAGATGACTGGCCAGACAAAACGTGGTACACTCATACAGCAGACGATCTTCAGCCATAAAGAGAGAAGACGCCCTGAACATGTCACACCTGGGGAACCTTGAACTCTATGCTGAGTGAATTAGGTCTATCACAAAGAGACATAGTGTGTGGCTTCACACAAATCAGTGGTTCTCCACCTTCCTCATGCCGCAACCCTTTCATACAGTTCCTCATGTGGTGGTGACCCCCAAACCATAACATTATTTTCGTTGCTACTTCATAACTGCAATTTTGCTACCGTTATGAACCGGGCAGCCCGTCAAAGAGTCATTCGACCCCCAAAGGGGTCATGACCCACAGGTTGCGAACCGCTGACAGATGATCTAGAAGAGGTAAATGTATAGAGCCTCAAGTTTATTAGTGGCTCCCAGGGCAGGAGTGAGCGGAAAAGAGGGATCTGTTCCCTGTGAAGTAACAAGTTTCTGCTTATGGTGATGGGAAATGTGGCCAGTTATTGGTGAGTCGTACAACATGATTAATGGAACTCATGTTAACAAAACTTTAAATTAGCAAATGTTGTGTTATATATATTTTTTTCAGTTAAAAATATAGTCTTTGTCTGTTAAATATGTTGCAAAATATGACCAGTTGGGATTCTTCTCTTTAAATAGGATTTACACTATGGACATGCTGTCAGGAGAGACTACCGATAGTTCCCAGACACGGGCTTCCTGCTTGGTAGCGGTTCAATGAAGAGGAGGAAGAGTGTGTGTCAGATGGATCAACACACGGCTGTAACAATGGGCTCCAGTGTAGGAACCATTCCAAAAGGATGGTGCCGGGCTAGGCTGTCTTTCTGTTATACCCAGGGCCCCCGTGAGTCAGGACCAACTGGACCGCTCCTAACAACACAGTGGTTTCTGATCGTCACAACTTTTTCTACCGATTCTATGTTCTCATAAGTTTTCA